AAATTTATTTTTCCAACTCTCATATGCTTTTTCAAATTTAATTCTAGCCAATTATGAGTAATAGTTTTAAAAACATAAGTTAAATAGGTAGTAAACAATCTCAGATTTATAACTTGAACCTTCATTTTTTTGTAGAGTTTTAATTTAACTTTCGTAATTTTGTTTCATAAACTCTCTAATAGCATTCATATTTTTAGCATGATCTTACTTTAGCTCTAGTTATTTATTAATCAGCTAAAAGTGTTCTTATGAAGTAAAATTCATTTGTTTCTCTATTATTTAAAAAACACATATTAACATTTCTTTAAAGCTTTTACAGGTTTATTCTCTCTCAAAAGCTTTGCAGCTGCTTTATGATGATGTATATTTTGACTAAACGCAATAATTCTTTATAGCATTTATCTCCTAAATAAATTAATCATAATTTTAGTCAACTATTATTTCATTTTTCTCATTTAGATTCAGAGATTTTAGTTTAAATTATTTTTTTAAAAATTTGGAGCTTGGCTAAAATTATAAACCATTCCACTTGTTTAAAATGCTGATAAAATTTTCATGAGGGCAATCGTTAGTGCTTCTATTTTCATTTAGAGTTTTAATTATTTCTTTGAAACCATCTTAATCCCTAAGAGTAGTTTACACATATATAAGGCAAGCAGACAATCTTGAGATTAAACATATTAACTTTATCATATTTTATTAATGAAGAGAAGTCTTATTAGTTAAATCAAAGCCTTCACAATCAAAGAAAAGTAGAATATCTTCTTTTTAGTCTTTAGGTTCTTTTAAATTTTAAGGAAAGTAAAACTTAATCCCCTATGTACAATTGCCTTCATTAAATTTAGATTTGAAGATTTAAAAATACTCTGATCTATTTTAGTATTTTTATATAATAAAATTTTGAATTAGAGATTTTCCTACTCCTCTATCTCCAATAGTTACAATTAATTTAATCCTATTTTCAGAGTACTTATCTAAGAATTAGAGAAGTTTAGAATTTTTGATCTGTTACTCATAATTGCCATCTTCAAATTTTAAAGAAACAATATTCCCTTCACCTTATAATTCACAAAGAGAACTTTCTTAATAGTTTAGATTTGTTTTATTTAACGAAATGTATTCTTAGTTACTTGTTTTATTTAACGATTTATTGTTACCCATTTTAGAAATTTTTTATATATCTCTTTATTTATTAATTTTATTATAAAAATAATTAAATATTTATTTTAAGATTAAATTGATTCAAGTTTTAAAATAACCTAAAAGGTATTAATTAGAATATTAAAAATATTAGAATATTAACTCTCTCTTATTCTAGGGGTAGATTTTAAAAATAAATTAATTAAAAAAACTAAATGATGAATTTTATAATTTTTAAAAAATTTTAGAATATTAAAAAAATATTAGAATTTGACCTTGCTAATATTCTAATTTTACTTTCACAATTTGTCTAATATTAATTTGTAAGTAGATGGTAAAAGGAAAGCCATTCACAACTCTTTTATTTTAGTATATTTTGTATTCTATTAATAATGTAATAGAAATTTAATGATGCAAATTGCAATATTTAGTTTTTATCTTAATCTAAAATATATAAATAACACTTTAATATTTAAACATATAAACTTTCTGATAAGTTAATATTTGTTATGGATAGATAATACATAATAATAATATATAATCAGTATTTTTTTTAATATTCTAAATTCTTATAGAATAATATGATGCTAATATTCTAAATTCTTATAGAATAATATGATGCTAATATTCTAAATTCTTATAGAATAATATGATGCTAATATTCTAAAATCTAATCATAATTTACAATAAATAAGGAAAGTTGCATAAAATAAAAGAATTTAGATAAATTTTTCAGTTTTAAAAGTGATGACATACTTTTTAATAATTTATGAGTGAGTTTGAATTATAAATAAAATGCTGCATCTAGTTAAAGTAATAAAAATGCAAATATATATTTTAAATGTAGATTTTATACATTTTAGTTAATACTTTAATAAAGTGCTTCAAAATGAGTGATTATAAGTAGTCTTAATGTCTTAATTCTATCAAAATAGTTTATTTGAATTTTAATATTAAAAATGTAACCTTTATAATAAGTTAATAATTGTTAAGGTTAATACGTAATATAAATTAAAAAACAATACAATTCTTAATTTAAATTTCATTATCTTATCATATTCTAAATGCTTAATAAAATATTCTAATATCTCAAAGAATAATATGTTACTATTATTCTAATAATTAATCATTATTTTTTTAATATTCTATATTCTTAAACTATAATATTATGTTAATATTCTAAAATCCCATCATAATGTCCAATAAAAGATCCTTTAAATATAAGAATTTAGATACATTTTTAATCTTTTAAAAATGAGGTACTTTCTTAAAAATTATGAGTGAATTCGATTTATATATAAAATGCTACATAAAGTTAAAGTAATAAAAATGCAAATATAAATTTTAAACCTTAAACTTTATATATATTGGCTAATATTTGAATAGGTGGTTTCAAAATGAGTGATTTTAAGAAGCTTTAATGATTTAATAGTATATATATTTATCGATATATGCACTTAAATATTTAAAAATGTAAAATCTCCAATATGTTAATAATTTTTATAGATAATACATAATATTAGTTAAAAAACCTATAAAATGGTTAGACTAATTTAAATTTCATGATTATTTCATAATCTAAAAGCTAAATAGATAATTTAATTTTAATATTCTAAAATATCAAAGAATAATATGCAACTATTATTCTAATATATAATTATTAATTTTATAGTATTCTAAATTCATAAAGAATAATATTGTGCTAATATTCTAATTATAATTTGCACTTAATATGGATTGCTTAAAATAAAAGAATTAGAGAATTTACAATCGGAGCATTTTTAGACCAGTAGGCAAAAAAAAACCTTTCTGCCTACTATTTTTTCGCCTTCCAAGTATTTTCCTTGGGGGGCTACTTTTTAAGACTTTTTAATAAACATTTTTAGCAAATTTTTAATACTTATTTTTTACAAAATTACATATATGAGAAATAAATGGTTGATTAAATTTTAATTTAAAAATAAATATTTTAAAAAATTAAGCAAAATTTTAAATTAATTAAAGTAAGAAATGGAATTAATAATTTTTTAAAGTATTTATCATCTAAAATCAAATATTAATAAATTACAATAATTTATTATCTTTCGAATTTCATAATGATTTATATTTTTATATACTCAGCGAAAAAACCAAAAAAATGAAGCATTTTATGATTAATTAATTAATATTACTTTCACTGTTTATGTAAAGGAAATTTGGGTTTAAAGCATTAAGAATTTTAATATCTACTTTACTTAGATAATTAATAAGATGGACAACAAACATATAAGAAAGATATATTTAAAAAAATAATAATTAATTATGATAAATTCATCAATTAAAGTAAACTTATTTATTTATTTACTTGTTTGTTTTTATGAATATTAATTTTCTTATCAAAAAAGAGATAATAGTTTATCTTAAATTTTCATTGTTTTTTCTATTATTTCGTTTTCAATGATTAACTTGGCAAATTCCATTGATGAAATATAGCTTTCAAAAAATATAAATAAAATAAATTTAAAGAATAAATCTTTATTTCTATTTATTAGTAGGAATAAAATCTAATAAAACTCATCCTCTTAATTGTTAAGATTCGGATATAATTGCCTGTAGAAGTTAAAAAGTTAATAATTCCTAAATTAAATTTTTTTTTAATCAAGACAAATTTAAAAATCTTCATCTTTTACATCTATTTGATGAGCTAAATATTATAAGTTTTCAAAATTGGTGAAGTTATTTAACTTTAACTACTTTGCTAAAAAATCAGCACATTAAAAAAGCTAAATGTCAATTTAATAAGAAGTCGTTTTTTACTTTTCTAAACTTTTCTAATCAAAAGCCTTTGAAATACAATTCATTAAAAGCAATAAACAAACAGCTTCTTTTTCTTATTAAGAGTTGATAAATTAAATATACTCATTAAATTTAGGGATTTCAGATGTAAGAATATTCTTTATTTCTCTTAGATTATTTATTGAGGAATTCAAAACAAACTTATTCTAATTTATTGAACTAAACAGTGCTTTTTCAATGCGATTAGATAAAGAATTCTTTATTTTTATTTTTACCATATAATTCATACCCTAAAGAATTGTAGTTAAACTTGCAAAAGCAAAGCCAAATGAAAAAAATAATGCTCTATATCCGACCATCTTATTTTTAATAATTTCAATATCTTAATTAACTGTATAATTATTAATTTATCTTTCATAGTCTCTTATTTCTTATGGTTTAACTGAATCTAAATTAGAATACAACTCTAAAATTTCATTTTATTCATTATCATTTAGTACTTTTCCCTATTTTTCCGTTGAAATTTATAACATAGTTTTAAATGCTTACTAAAATTAATTTCTCCAATTCTAATATGCTTTATCAAATTCAATTCTAACCTTTTATGAGTAATAGTTTTAAAAACCTAAGTTAAATAGGCAGTAAACAATTTCAGATTTATAGCTTGAACCTTCATTTTTTTCTAGAGTTTTAACTTAGCTTTCATAATTTTGTTTCATAAACTCTCTAATAGCATTCATACTTTTAGCATGCTCTTACTTTAGCTCTAGTTATTTATTAATCAGCTAAAAGTGTTATTCTGAAGTAAAATTCATTTCTTTCTCTATTATTTAAAAAACACATATTAACATTTCTTTAAAGCTATTACAGGTTTATTCTCTCTCAAAAGCTTTGCAGTTGCTTTAAGATGTGGTATATTTTGACTAAACGCAATAATTCTTTATATCATTTATCTCCTAAATAAACTAATCATAATTTTAGTTAACTATTATTTCATTATTCTAATTTAGATCCAGAGATCTTAGTTTAAATTATTTTTTGAAAAATGGGGAGCTTGACTAAAAATTTACACCATTCCAGTAGTTTAAAATGCTGATAAAATTTTCATGAGGGCAATTATTAGTGCTACTATTTTCATTAAGCGTTTTTATTATTTCTTCGAAACCTTTTTAAATCCTATTAGTAGTTTACACATATATAAGGCAAGTAGACAATCTTGAGATTAAACATATTAACTTTATCAAATTTTATTATTGAGGAGAAGTCTTATCAGAAAAATCAAAGCCTTCACAATCAAAGAAAAGTACAATATCTTCTTTTTAGTTTTTAGGTTCTTTTAAATTTTAAGGAAAGTAAAACTTAATCCCCTTGGTACAATTGCCATCATTGAATTAAGACTTGAAAATTTAAAAATACTCTGATCTATTTTAGTATTTTTATATAATAAAATTTTGAATTAGAGACTTTCCTACTCCTCTATTTCCAATAGTTACAATTAATTTAATCCTATTTTCAGAGTACTTATCTAAGAATTAGAGGAATTTAGAATTTTTGATCTGTTACTCATAATTGCCATCTTCAAATTTTAAAGAAACAATATTCTCTTCACCTTATAATTCACAAAGAAAACTTTCTTTATAGTTTTAATTTTTTTAATTTAACGAAATGCATTTTTAGTTACCCATTTTAGAATTTTTTATCTATCTATTTATATATTAATTTTATTATGAAAGTAATTAAATATTTATTTATTTTAAGACTTAATTGATTCAAGTTTTAAAATAACCTAAAAAGTATTAATTAGAATATTAAAAATATTAGAATATTAACCCTTATCTTATCTTAGGGTTAGATTTTAAAAACAAATTAATTAAAAAAATTTAATGATGAATTTAAGGGTTAAAAAATAAATATTAGAATATTAAAAAAATATTCGAATTTGACCTTGCTAATATTCTAATATTATTTTCACAATTTGTCTATATTAATTTGTAAGTAGAATGGTTAAAAGAAAACCATTCAAGACACTTTTATTTTAGTATATATTGTATTCTATTAATATTATAATAGAAATTTAATGATGAAAGCTAGAGTATTTAAATCTAAAATACATAAATAAATAAATAACACAATAATATTTAAACATTTTCACTTTTCCTGATAAGTTAATATTTGTTATGGATAATAAAAATTATTAATATATAATCACTATTTTTTTTAATATTGTAAAATCTAATTATAATTTACTATAAATATGGAAAGTTGCTTATAATAAAGTAATTTATTTAGATACATTTTTCAGTTTTAAAAATGGCGACATAATTTTTAACAATTTATGAGTGAATTTAAATTATAAATAAAATACGCATATTTTTAAAGTAATAAAAATGCAAATATATATTTTAAATCTTAGCTTTTTTAGTTAATACTTTAATAAATGGCTTCAAAATCAGTGATTATAATAAGTAGTAACCTTCAATGTCTTAATTCTATCAAAGTAGTTTATTTGAATTTTAAAAATAAATGTAAACTTCCTGATAAGTTAATAATTGTTATGGTTAATACGTAATATAAATTAAAAAAGTTAACCTAAATTTCAATATATTTTCATATTCTAATATCTTAATAAAATATTCTAATATTTCAAAGGATAATATAATTATTATTTTTTTTAATATTCCAAATTCTTAAACAATAATGTGATGTTAATTTCTAAAATCCCATCATAATCTGTAATAAAAGTTCCTTAAAATAAAAGAATTTATATACATTTCTACTCTTTTAAAAATGACTGACTTACTTTCTTTAAAATTATGAGTGAATTCGATTTATATATTAAATGCTGCATAAAGTTAAAGAATTAAAAACACAAATATAAATTTTCTACATATTAACTAATACTTCAATAAATAAGTGGTTTTAAAATGAGCGATTTCAAGAAGCTTTAATATCTTAACAGTATATCTATCATAAATTTCAAAGTACCATCCCCAATCAAAAATAAATTGATATTTCTCATTATATATACCGTGGGTACGCATGAATAAGGATTATCAAAAAAAAAATCTTTTTTAAAATTTCTTATCCATAAAAAATTCAAAATATTTAATATAAAGTATTTTCATTAACTCTAAATTAAAATAAGAAATAGTTATGGAATTTTTAAAAATAAAATAATTCAACAAAAATAAAAATTATTTCAAAATTTTTTATGTGTCTTTCTTTCTTTAAAAGAAATTGATGTCTTATTGGTGTTTAATATTTGTTCAATTGTACCTATTAAAAATTATAATAATAACTTTAAAATTATTTAAAATAAATAAATTTATTTTACTAGCATTAAACTCTTAAGGGAATTGCTAAAATTATATATGAGTGTCTTGGATTAGTTTTTACTTTTGCTATTTTTTCATTATGAATTGTTTAATTATTTAATAATAGTAATAGGAACAATTCATAGTTGAGAATACTTAAATTAAGAAAATAGCAACTATTATTATTATATCTACTATAGAAGGTTTTTTAAATTGCAATCCTTCTTAGACATTTTCAGGTGAAGTATTGTAAGAAAGAGCTGATAAGAAATAAATAGCAGCAAGAATAATTTCAGTGAATATATTGTAGATTTATTTTATTTAATTATTAAATATTCTCAACAATAAGATGCACCCAAATGCAATTTACAAGCTTCCAACTACAAATAAGTTAATTTTTGATTACATTTTTAATATTAAAACAGCAGTAATTATTTTTCTTAATTCGAAAGCAGTCCAAATCAAGTATTTATTTCCTTTAATAATACATATATCATTTATCATTATTGTTTGGTTTGTTTTTGAATTATTGTTTTATACTTACTGTGCTTACTCAAAAGAACAAATACTAAAGGTATCTGTTTATTTTTTATTTTACTTGAAGAGAAAACAAGAATATTAAGTTTAAATAATTAAAAATAAAACTAGAGCAGCTAAATTTATTGCCACTAAAATTAATTCTTTAATGAATTTATCAAGCTTATTCAAATTTAAAAGGATAGAAATAGTAGTATATAAGACTTAAGCAGATATCAGTCTTGATATTATTATAAATCCTTATTACTAAAGCTTTTAATACCAAAATTTTTATTATAAAGTTTTAAATATTAAATTAGACAACTTGAATAAAAGCATGAAAGCAAAGCATAAAGCGCTGATTATTAAATAGTTTATTTAATTCTGTGTTTCTTAGTTATCTGACTAGATGAGCTGAATTTACTCAAAAAAATTAAAATTGTAGGTTTAATAACCTTTTAAAAGTTCTATTCTCATGTCATTTATGTCATTTTTTCCTGGTAAATTATATGCTAAAATCCCAATTTACTACTAAATCATAAAAGAGTATTAAATATGAGGATAAAAAGGAAAAATAGCTTGGATTAACTGTAAATAGTATGAAACGTTTGAAATAACTGATTTAAACGTTAAAAATTACTAGCTAAACGATTATTAAATTTAATTGCAGTCAGCTTTATTAACTTCTTCGAATCCAAATTTACAGTTGCAAGAATTATCAGTAGAGTTAAATTATCTAGTGTCAGAACTGCAAATATTACAACCCTTAGCCGAGTTAGGTATTTAGCATAATTAGCAACTAAAGTGACAAGGAAATTCATCCTAATATTAATTACAAGTTTAATTATCTGAACATTAATAACAGTACTCTTAACATGTTGAAGAGCAAGTTTTAGTCAGCTCATCAAAAAATTTTCCTCTTTTTTTAATAATAAATAAAATATTTTAGTAATTCCATTCAATTTTTAGATAAAATCTAAAAGTCTAAATTCATAAATAAATAATAAATAAATAAATCTTAAAAATATTGATAAAATTTTTATTTTTTATTTTAGAATTTAATCTTGGTGAAAAGTTAATTATAAAAAATATTATTTAAAGAAGTTGATTTTAAAATGTTAATATCAACAAAATTTTATTCAACTAAATTGACTTGATATATATGCTTTTGAAATGAGTTAGTTTATTATTAAATTAAATTAATTAATTCATTTATTTAAAAAAATAATTTTTAAATAAGAAAATATTTAAAAAAATAAAATAAAAAAATTTTTTTTTTACTTTCCACAATATTTGCAATACCCATTATGATTTTAGAAACCATTTTTACATTTTTAACACTAAGGACCAAATTGATCTAAAATATCACAATTTTTGGAAGATGGATTTAGCAGGCACTATTTTTTATCTTTATCATAATATTAAGAGGAATTTTAGCAGATGCAAACTTATAAGATACTGCTGAAGATCATTTCAGAAGGGCAATCGCACATCGCTGTTACAGAGTTATATTTCATGTTATCTTAATCAGCACAAATACATTTGTTTTCATTTACGTTAAAATTCATTTTTTCTTTACATGAGCATTTTGCTTAGATAGGAAAGTAATTCATATTTTTTAGATCTGCACATTCGCATTTTTTATTATTTTCATTATAAATCATCAATTCGTTGCATTCGCATTTTTTTGTATTAATATTATAGTGCATATTATTAACATCTATACACTAGCATTTTGATATCTTATTATTGAAAGCCATAGTTTCTTTACATTCACAAATTCCTTTATTTTAATCATATTACATATTTTGCTTATCAGCACATTCACAGATTTAATTTGAATCATCAAAAATCATTGTATCTTTACACTCGCATTGCATCTAGTTTGTGTTAAAAATCATTTTTATCATATCAGAGCAGACACATTTGTTTTAATTTGAATCAAACTTTAGATTTTTTTTTTCTAAACATAAACATTTTTTCTGTTTTACATCATATTTCATTAGATCTTAATCTATACAATCACATTTTTTTAATTAAGAATTCTACTTCATAGTTTAAGAGTCATTACAAATACAGATGTTATTCTTTTTATCTACGCTCATAGTAGAATCAATGCATTAACATTTTTTATCTTTAAATTACATGTATATTAAATCTTTACAAATTAAGCAATTTTAAGCATTTTTCTCACAAGAATAACAAGAATCATCGCATTTTTAACATCTGTTTAAACTTCTTAAATCTATACTTAAGTAATACCCTACTGGGCACTTTTAACATTTATCTTGAAAGTTAGCTAATTTACCAGTACATACAATCATTTAAATCAAGAGGATTGAAGACTATATCTATAATAATTAAGAATCACCCCATGTAATATATTGAATTTAGATAGCATTACTACTAATAAATTAGGGTATAATTTTTTATCTTATTTCTTTTTCAGAATTTTAATAATAACCATTCAGTCCAATCATTAAGCAATATTATTATTCAGGACAGCCATAATTAGGATAAATTTGAATATCTGAAGTGACACTATTCTATCCTTTCTATAAATATTAAAGATCATTGTATTAAAAAATCTAATAGTAGGAAGATTCATTTTATAATTCTTCGTAATAGATATAATTTATACTAATAAAATTTATTTGGCAATTTGATTCTTTACTTAGTATAAAATGGAATCCATCTTCTTGCGTTTAAACACTTTCAATAAATAAACTTTATATTGAGATTGTGTCATATAAAACACCTGTTATATAAGCATAAGCTACCATATTTTTGGTAAAATTAGATGGTTTATCTGTGTAATCTAATTTATTTTTATTTTTAAATTAAGGGTTAGTGATGTTGAGATTAGCAACGTAAAACTAATCTATGCATATTTCTGCTAAGAAAAAGCTAATTTAAACACTATCTTTGTAAATATTAAATGTCACTTACGTTTAATTTTTATTACTGCTATCTATTATAAAACCATTCTAACTTGTAGGAAAATCTAAATTTAGGTTTCCAACAAGCAACTTTCTATCTTAGCACTAAAGTTTGTAAGGTATTGAAATAGTTTTATTAACATCACCTCCATAATTAATTAAAGTATAAGTTTAAATATAGATTTTGTCTGGATCAGGGTAAGTATACTGTTGGCATTTCAATCTTAAGAAGAGAGACAATGTTTAGATAAACATTATGATTACATTTATAAAACTCATTTATTTTAATTTAATGCTTTATTAGACTTTAATAAATAGAAACTTTTTTTCTTCTTAATTGTTTTTTTCTTCTATTTTTTAGCAATTTTAATCAAAAAATCTCTGTTTTAGTTATAAGTAAAGCTCTTAAATGAAATACAATTAATATAGACTATTTTAAAAATATATTTCTAATAAAAGAAAAACAAACAAACCATAGTCTTAATTTCTATTTAATTTCATTGAAAATAATTTGTGTAAAAAATTACCCATTAATTTAGTATTAATTTTAAAAATATTCACATTTCTTCATCATTGTCTGTAATAACAAACTTTCCTCTAAAAGCAAATCACTTATCTAAAGATATTGTTTATATGCCACTCATTTAAATTTAACTTCCTTATTTGCCTTACAAGCCAAAATCCTAAAAAATTTTTTTTTCAAGTTACTTTACAAATCAGAAATTAAAAGATACTTTCGCAAGAAGATTTAATATTTTTAAATTTCATATTTTAAGAAGTATTTTTAATTGAAAATAATAAATCAAGTGAGTCATAAATTACTATTTTAAATCAAATTTATAAAAAAATGCTTTTTATAATGAAATATTAATTTTTATCTAAATAAATCTAAAATGTAAAAGATAGATAAGCTATTTATTTCACATTGTAAATAAATATTGATTATTAAGATATTTCATTTTTAAATATTAATTTCATTTAAAATAATAATTTTAATTAAAACTCATTTTTATCATAAATAATGATCATTCTTCTAACTTTAAATATTTTTAAATTGACAAAGAAAAGAAATTTTCGTTAAATTTAATTTCAAAAAGTGAATTTTCCTTCCTCGCAAGAAGTGTAAATATTTTGAAGCAAGAAATCAGTGAAGAAAGAAACTTTAAATAAGTTTTTGAAGTCTACCATTATAAGTTTAATCTACTAAATAAGATTGCTGGGACATGAATCTTTTCTATTTGTGTAAAATTATACCCTCATTTCCTAAATCCTTCACTATAACAACCAACCAGCTACTATGACTAAAGGTAAATTAAATCATTTGATTGGATTCATATTAAGTTTCATAAGAGAAATTAATTTAGGTATTCTTTAATGTTAAAGAGAACAATGTAGCAAATACTTCCTTCAATCAAAATTATTAGAAACCTACAAGAAAAGATAGATTTTATTTCCTACCTCTCTGAAAACTTCGAAAAATTGAGAATTGAACCCAAATTGGTGTTAGAGTATAAAACAAAAGAAGAGTTAGCGCTTTAACCAGTCCCCAAATTATAAATCTCTTTCTCAATTTTCATTCCAGTAATATGAGCGAAAATCTTGATCAAGAATTATATAAAAATTATATAAAATTTAATTACATTTTTTTACTTGTTTTGCATTAGTGTATGAATATTTTTAAATTAATACATAAATAGTAAAATATATACAGGGTTATGGCAAAAACAAACGGACTGACTTTTTTTATTGATATTTCTTAAAAAATTAAATTTGGCTAATTATAAATCCAAATGTCATTTATTTTCATTCACTCTCAATTAAAAAAAATTAAAATTTATTATAACAGATATTTTGTTATAAAATTTATTAAAATTAAAATAAAAAATAGTTATGAAATTAACAAAAATAAAATATTTAATTAAAACAAAAGTATTTCAAAATTTATTATTTGTCTTTCTATATTTAAAAGAAAATTATGTCTTATTGCTGTTTAATATTTGTTCAATTATACCTATTAAAAATTAAATTAATGATAAATATAAAATTATTTTAAATAAATAAATAAATATTACTAGCATTAAACTCTTAGGGGAATTGTTCAAATTATATATGCATGTCTTTGATCAGTTGTTTTTAGGTTTATTACTTTTTTTTTATGAATTGTTTAATTATTTGATAATAGTAATAGGAACAATTTATAGTTGAGAATACTTAAATTAAGAAAATAGCAGCTATTATTATTATATCTATTATAGAAGGTTTTTTATATTACAATCCTTCTTAGACATTTTCACTTAAAGTATTGTAAGCAATTGCTGATAAGAAATAAATAGTAGCAAGAATAATTTCAGTGAATATATTATATATTTATTTTATTTAATTATTAAATATTCTCAACAATAAGATGCATCCAAATGCAAGCTACAAGCCTCCAACTACAAATATGTCGATTTTGGATTATATTTTTAATATTAAAATAGCAGTAATAATTTTTCTTAATTCGAAAACAGTCCAAATCAAGTATTTACTTCCTTTAATAACATTTATATCGTTGATCATTATTGCTTTGTTTGTTTTTGAGTTATTGTCTTAAACTTACTATGCTTATTCAAAAGAAGAAACACTACAAGTATCTGCTTTTTTTTTCTTTTGCTTGAAGAGAAAGTAAGAATATTAAGTTTAGATAACTAAAAATAAAATTAGAGCAGCTAAATTTATTGCCACTAAAATTAATTCTTTAAAGAATTTATTGAGCTTATTCAACTGTAAAAGGATAGAAATCGCATAATATATGACTTAAGCAGATATCAGTCTTGATATAATTATAAATCCTTATTACTAAAACTTTTAAAACCAAAATTTTTATTATAAAGTTTTAAATATTAAATTAGATAATTTGAATAAAAGCATGAAAGTAAAGCATATAGCGCTGATTGTTAAATAGTTTATTTAATTCTGTGTTTCTTAGTTATCTGACTAGATGAGCTGAATTTACTCAAAAAAATTAAAATTGTAGGTTTAATAACCTTTTAAAAGTTCTATTCTCATGTCATTTATGTCATTGTTTCCTGGTAAATTATATGCTAAAATCCCAATTTACTGCTAAATCATAAAAGAGAATAAAATATGAGGATAAAAAGGAAAAATTGCTTAGAAAAGCTGTAAATAGTATGAAACGTTTGAAATAACTGATTTAAACGTTAAAAATTACTAGCTAAACGATTACTAAATTTAATTGCAGTCAGCTTTATTAACTTCTTCGAATCCAAATTTACAGTTGCAAGAATTATCAGTAGAGTTAAATTATCTAGTGTCAGAACTGCAAATAATACAACCTTTAACTGAGTTAGGTATTTAGCATAATTAGCAACTAAAATGACAAGGAAATTCATCCTAATATTAATTACAAGTTTAATTATCTGAACATTAATAGCAGTACTCTTAACATGTTAAAGAGCAAGTTTTAGTCAGCTCATCAAAAAACTTTCCTCTTTTTTTAATAATAAATTAAATATTTTAGTAATTCCATTCAATTTTTAGATAAAATCTAAAAGTCTAAATTCATAAATAAATAAATGAATGAATCTTAAAAAATAATGATAAAATTTTTATTTTTTATTTTAGAATTTAATTTTGTAAAAAATTAATTAAAAAAAATTATTATTTAAAGAAGTTGATTTTAAAATATTAATATCAACAAAACTTCATTCAACTAAATTGACTTGATATATATGCTTTTGAAATGAGTTAGTTTATTTTTAAATTAAATTTATTTATTTATTTATTTAAAAAAATAAAATTATTTTGAAAAAAAATATTTTTTCTACTTTCCACAATATTTGCAATAACCATTATGGTTTTAGAATCCATTTTTACATTTTTAGCACTAAGGATTAAATTGATCTAAAATATCACAATTTTAGGAAGATGGATTTAGTAGGCACTACTTTTTATCTTTATCATAATATTAAGAGGAATCCTAACAGATGCAAACTTATAAGATACTGCTGAAGATCATTTCAGAAGGGCAATCACACATCGCTGTTACAGAATTATATTTCATGTTATCTTAATCAACACAAACACATTTTTTTTCATTTACGTTGAAATTCATTGTTTCTTTACATAAGCATTTTTACTGTTTTTCATCATAATTCATTAGATCTTAATCTATACAATCACATTTTTTTAATTAAGAATTCTACTTCATGGTTTAAGTGTCATTACAGATACAGATGTTATTGTTTTTATCTAAGCTCATAGTAGAATTAATGCATTAACATTTATTATCTTTAAATTACATGTATATTTAATCTTTACAAATTGAGCAATTGAAAGCATTTTTCTCACAGGTATAACAAGAATTGTCGCATTTATAACATCTGTTTAAACTTCTATTTTCATCTCTACTTTAGTAATACCCTAACGGGCACTTTTAACATTAATCTTGAAAATTAGCTAACTCACCAGTACATACAGCCATTTAGATTAAGAGTATTTAAGACTATATCCCTAATAATTGAGAACCAGCCCATTTAGTATATTGAATTTAAATAGTGTTATTACTAATAAATTTGGATTAAATTCTTTATCTTATTTCTTAGTTGTAATTTTAATAATAACCAGTCAGTCCAATCATAAAGCAATATTACTAATATTATTCAGGACAAGAATAATTAAAATCAATTGAGATCTCCGAAAAGACACTTTAATTTTAATCATTATCTAACTTGAAATCTGAATCAGTGATAGATTATTTTGTCAGGTCTTCTTATTAATAAATGAAATAGTAGGAAGATTCATCTTATCGTTTTTCGTAATAGATATAATTTATACTAATAAAAGTTATTTGACAATTTGGTTCTTTACTTAGTTTAAAATGGAATCCATCATCTAGTGTTTAAACACTTGCAATAAATAAACTTTATTATGGGTTTGTGTCATATAAAACACCTGTAATGTAAGCATAAGCTACCATATTTTTGGTAAAATTAGATGGTTTATCTGTGTAATCTAATTTATTTTTATTTTTAAATTAAGGGTTAGTGATGTTAAGATTAGCAACGTAAAACTAATCTATGCATATTTCTGCTAAGAAAAAGCTAATTTAAACACTATCTTTGTAAATATTAAATGTCACTTACTTTTAATCTTTATTACTGCTATCTATTATAAAACCATTCTAACTTGTAGGAAAATCTAAATTTAGGTTTCCAACAAGTAACTTTCTATCTTAGCACTAAAGTTTGTAAGGTATTGGAATAGTTGTATTAACATGACCAGCATAATTAATTAAAGTATAAGTTTAAATATAGACTTTTTCTGGATCTGGGTAAGTATACTATTTGCATTTGAATCTTTAGAAGAGAGACATTGTTAAGATAAGCATTTTGATTACATTTATAAAACTCATTTTAATTTAATTCTTTATTTGGCTTTAATAAATAGAAATTTTTTTTCTTCTTTATTGTTTTCTTCTTCTTTTTCTTCACAATTTTAATCAAAAAATATCTCTTTTAGTTTTAAGTAAAGCTCTTAAAATGAAATACAATTAATAAAGAATATTTTAAAAATATATTTCTATTAAAAAGAAAAACAAGCCACACTCTAAATTTCTATTTAATTTCCTAGAAAAAAATTTGTGTAAAATTTGACCATTAATTGAATAACAATAAAAATATTCACCTTTCCTCGTCACACTTTTTAATACATATTTTCCTCAAAAAAAATACTTTATCTGAAGATATTTTTTATTAGCCACTCATTTATTTACATTTTACTTCCTTATTTGCCTAACAAGCTAAAATCCTAAAAAATTTTCTTTTCAACTTTACTTTATAAAGTCAAAAATTAAAAGATTCTTTTACAAGAATATTTAATCATTTAAAATTACATATTTAAAGAAGAATTTTTAATAGAGAGTAAGTAAGTAAGTAAGTAAGTAATTCAAGTCAGTTAAAAATTACTATTTTTTTATAAAATGATTTTTATTATGAAATATTAATTTTTAGATAATAAATTTAAAAGATAAGCTATTTATTTTTTCATAATGAAAAAAATAATGATTATTTCATTTTTAAAAATTATGTTAATCTAAAATAATAATTTTGATTGTTTTTATTTAAATTACAAATAATACTTTTTCAATTAACTTTAAAAGTTTTAAAATATTTTAAATTGACAAAAATAAAAATTTTCACTAAATTTAATAATTTTTATTATTATTTATTTTAAGAAAATAATCGGGTTCTTTATATCATATTATCACTCTTTATAATTTTTTAACTATCGCATTATATATTCAATTAGTCAGTTTTAGAAAAATTTTTATGAAGATTAATCAAATACCTATTTTCAGTAATTTTCTTACCTCTAAAGTTTTGGCAATACTTAATTGAGTTATTTATTTATTTATTTATTTTAAGACCTTTCATCCCAAATTATTTAAAATTTTAATTGACTTCCTTTCAAAGCTTAAAACTTTTTCTTCAATTTGATTATAATTAAATAAATAAATTGATAGTTAGTTATTAATAACTTTTAATATTAAGTTTTTTTATTTTATTGAAACAGATAATTAGAATAAATAAAACAATTTAAATCTACTTTAGAAAATGAAATTTGAGATTTTAGAGGATGTAATTTATTTAGAAATCATAAAATATGCATTTTATCTATAAAAAAGTTCCTTTCATGTAGCTTCCAAAGTCACTAGAAACTAGAGCTATAATTTAGGTATTTAACATAATTATTTATGGTTTATATAGAGCTAATGATTTTTTTTAATTCTTAAATCAATTTTTTTATACTTAAATTAAAATTAATTTATTAAATAAATAAATAATTGATTAAAGTGGGAGTTATATGATAGATAAAAGAATTGCTAGTTTATGTACAGGATTAGCAAATTGCATCAATCTTATAAATTTGGAAATTAATTTAAGGTAATTCTTTTGATATTTTTTAATATAAATTACTTATTATAAAAATTTTCAAATACTCCATCAGTAAATAAATATATTAATTTAACCAAAAATATTTTGTAAAATATTTCATAATATTATTAATAGAAAATGTATAAAGCAATTTAGAAAAGCTTATTATTTTATTCATTAATGTATAGCGCTAGTTAAATCAATGATTAAAGGCTTCTAAGCATATGTTAAACTTTAGGAAATTTAGATGGTTTATAGAGTCTATCTATTTATTTATAGTAATCAAATATTTTCTTCTGTTTTTAGTATTTTTTAATGATTGTTTAAAATTTAGATTAAAAGTTATTAAAAACTATTTTTAATACATTTTATTTTTAGCTCAAATTAAATAGGAGAAAGTGGTCTATTTTATTTAAGTTCTGCCTTAAATGATCTATAAAATATTTAAAACTTGAATATTTCTTTGAGGTAAAATTAAATCAAAATAATAATTTTTAATAAAATAAATTTTAAATATCAAAAAAGTGAAAATAAAATAACAAATAAAGCTATAATTGAATTTGGTAGTTCATTAAAGAGTTGCCTTAATCTACAAGTATTAAAAATTACACTTGGGTATACAAATTTATATTTTAGATTATCATAAAAATTAATTATTTAATATAAAGATGGAATTAGATAAATAGTTAAGCAGCTTTTAGTTTTTGTAAGTGCTTGTCTGAATTGAAAAAAGTTTCAAATGTGAGCCTTAATTTTTAGTAATTTAAAAAATTAATTTAAATTTGATTTATTAACTATTTATGAAGAAAAAATAAATATATAAATAAATAGTAAGTAACTGCTATTAAATAAGAATATAAATATTTTTATTTATTTGTCTTGATTTTTATTATTTTAAAGTCCTTAACTTGTATGTATTTTTCTGCTAAATAAAATATATTTACTATAGAATGCATAATAATATGTAAGCAGGAGAGAATAAATTAAAACAAAATAAACTAAATAATATACTTAAAATTTGTTAAAAATGATTAACTAAAAATACTACAAAAATTTTTTAATAGAATTCTTATAATTAAATATTATTTGTTGAAATAAACTTTCAAATTATCAAAATTATTTTTAAATTAAACGCATTTGATTTAAAAAAAACATAAAAACTACTTCATTAAGTAAAGCTACCTTTTATTTAAATAGGTTTAATGAAGTTTACAATTCAACTTGTTTGAAGAGGACATTAAAGAAATATCCAAGATTGGTAATGCTAAACATATAAATTTGAAATAAATTAATTATATATTTAATCTAATCATACTTTTTACTTTTATTCAATACAAAATTAATAAAATAAAGTTATTTTAAGAAATGTGAGAAATTCTTAGGTGTGTGTGTGTGTATAAATTAATTGACAATAAAGTTTTTATTTATAAATAAAAAACGTTAATTCTTCAAAATTATGTATACTAATTAATTATGGTATCAATTTTATTTAAAAATCCCAATAATATATATTCTAAAAGTGCAGTTTATATTGTAAATATTTTTATTTTATCAATAGTTAGTTTTCTATTTGTTTTTCTTTATTCGTATTTTTTTAGCATAAAATTAAAAATTATATTTGATTTTTATTTAATTAAAATATTAAAAAAAGTAAATAATTTTTTTAAGATCAAATTAAAAAAAATACAAATTATTAACTTTTTGTGATTATAGAGTAGAGTTTAGGCATATTTTAAATAAAAAAATTATTTCATAGTATTAAGTTAAAGTTTTATTCAAATAAATTTAATTTGAGGAGATATTTAAAGTATAATTTATGTTAAAATTGTTAAAATTTAATAAAATCAATATTTAATCTATTGTGATTTTATATTTTGATTGATTTATATTAATTTGATAAAGAAATTTAATTCCTTTTAAAAGTAATCCAAATTCATTGAAATTTTGCATGTTGGTTGTCCTAATTAACAAGAACTTGACAGTATTCTAATTTAAAAAATAATAAACACCATAAAATTAAAGAATTTATCAATAATCCTAAAAAAAAGGATCCTACTAAGAAAAAAAATTAATTAATTTTGTGATATTAATAATTTTATTTATCATTAGGAGTAAGATTTGATCGAATAAATTATATATATATTTTAATTTATTTTACTTTACTTTTTTATTCAATAAAACTAATTTTTAAATAATTCAATTTAATTTAATTATATTGAAATATTATCTATCTATTTTACTATGTTACTTAATTATTTTTGCTAAATGTGTATTTTGATTTGTTATAATTAAGATAGAGTTATATTATAACAATTTTTATATTTATTTGTTTAAATTATTTAAAAATGGAGATATTATTAGATTGATTCAACAGAAAAATGCCAAAATCAAGCAAAATTGAATATTTTAAGAGTGAATTTAATTTTTGATAGCTAGCTCTCTAAAGAATAAAATACCTTGTAAAGAAAATAAAATATGTTAATAAAAATCAGTAAAATGCCGAAAATTGTTATAATTTAAAAATAGTACTTCAAATACTATGAAGAAAAATAAAACTAAGGGCAAATAAATAAATAAATGAATTAGTGAATACTTTTTAGATAAATAATTAATAAAATTAATTGATTGAAAGTGTTAGTTTTGAAGATATTCAAACCTACTTTATTTTCAATTTATTTATCAATAAATAAATAAATGACTTTTATTTGTTAAATAATTTGTTTATTTGTTCATTGAATCTATTAATCAATTTTTCATTCTAATTAATTGTTTGTTTTGTTTGATTTATGTATTTAATATTTAGTTGTTTGCAAAGAAATTTTAAAGAAAAAGATATTGAAACTTGAAAGAAAGTACCCAAATTAAATACAATAATCAATATTAATTAAAGTTATAAATATAAGAATAATAAGAATATTAATAACAAAATATAATTGAAATGTATACACCATCTGTAGGCTATTAATCTACTCCTTACTTGCATTAGCACCAGGTTCCTGTTACACGTCATCTCGCATCATATAATTTGGGTGTTTCACCAGTTAATAGGCCTTTTGATTCTCCTTAAGTAGGCAGTCCTTAAATTATTTAAAGCAGATATATTGATGGAGCTTAATCCCCAGCAGGTTTAACTCCTTAAGGGTCTGTTTTCGGCGCTAACCGCCCATAGAGTGTATAATACGGATAATATGGCTAAAGCCCTGTTTCAGTATAAAGTTAATTGATAAATTCTCCATACAACAGTGGAGTATACAACCCTTAAATGAAATACATAGGAGGTACTTAAGGTAGTATTGCTCAATAGGGAACAGTAGCAGGTTAAGGTTCAATCACTCCAGGAAGTATTGCAAATACTTAAGGAGGTCCTTCAGCAGTTTAATAAAATTTAGTACAAAGTCAACAATAAATTTAGCAATAAGGTTTATAATAGTCAAGCGCAATTTAGCAATAATAGGATATAGCAGTTACAAACTAATTCACAGCAGGATCTGCCGCAAATAAGACACCAGTTGGGCTAGGAGCAAGTCCTTCGGTTGACATTAATAGTGCAGCCAACTATGAAAATGCTAATTTCAAAGGCGGCGATTTCTACAGAAATGGACCAAATTAGTTCACTCGCGTGCCTTACGATCATGCTGAAAGAGACTACTATGATTAAGACCTAACTTAAACCAGACGCCGTAATCCAGGAAAGATAGTTGGTCCTCATATTTATTCTTATGGTAATCATCATTTTTTATGTTTTAAATATATTTAAAATGGATAAAAAGCATTAAAAGCTCGACAGAATAACATAGTAAATTCAATAAGAAAGAAAAATTTTAAAAAAGGCTTCAAAGAATCGTTTGATTTTTAAATTTTGGTTTTAAAATAATGAGATCAATCAATAAAAAATCTATCATCTCAAAAAAAAAAAAACAAAGCACTTTAAAACCTTAACAAAAATGGCATAAAGAATTTTAAACAAAGACTGAAGCTTGCTGAATGAACAAATATTTGAATTTATTTAAGTCGTTTCAAAATAAATGGTTTGCATAAAAGTCGATTTTATTCATTAAAACAAAATTTATTTTTGAGTATGTTAAACGATTAAGATTTTTGAACCAGTTTAAATTATGAATGATAGATAATAGGATTCAATTAGATAATATTTGCATAAGAAGAATTTGAAAAATTAATTAGTTAATAAATTAAAATAAATTACGTTTCTGTGTTTCAAGATTTAAGAAAAATCAATTAGCATCTAAATAAATTAATAAATAAATTTTGATTTTAAAAAGAATATTGCTGTCATTGATAAATGAATATATTTTGATTATCATAAATAAATAGATAGATTGATAGATAGATATATCAAAGAAATTAACAAGCAAATTAATAAAGATAATTGAAAAAGATCTTTTTTCAGATATCTTAATAAATCAAAATTTTGTATTTCTAAATAAATCTTAAATAAAAAGATGACAGTGAAGATTTCAGAGTCAGAAAACCACCCGATTAAGAACACGAGTAAAAAATTCAAAAATTGAAGAGCGAAAAAACAAAAAGAGAACTTCACGTCTAAGAACTAGATTATAAAATACATATTTTGGAACAAGAAAACTAAAGTTTGAGAAATCAAATGGATCAAATGAAGACCGACTACAAAAGACTAGCTTAAGTGTAATTATTTAAATATTATTTGTCGATCATTTTTTTAAAAAAAAGAACATCGATATATTTATTTAATTAAAATTAAATTCTAATGTTATTATATGAATTAATTTGTTTTATTTTGTTCAGGTATGAAGAAAAATATAGTCATGAAATAGAGAGATTGCACTTAGAAAACTAAGATTATGAGAACTCAAATAAGTAGTGGGCAACCAGATTTAAAGATTTGGTAGATAAATGTGATGATCTTGTTCAAGAAAAATAAGTAATTTATTCTTATTAGCATAAACTTTGTAAATATTAATATATATTCATTCATTTAAAATCTAGGATTTGGAAGAGTAAAATAGAAAATTAAATGACAAAATCCTTCAAATTCAGGTATTGCTACATGAATAGCCAATTAAAAACTAAATGAGATTTGAAAGCACTAATAAAAACTTCTGAATAATTTTGTTGATTTAAGTTATATTTTTCCTTTTATATTATATAGCAAATTTTCAATACCTTAATTCATTCATTCATTCGTTCTTCCTTCAAAAACTACTATTTGATTTAAATATATATTATTTTCTTTGATTTAATTCTTTATGTGATTCTAAAATAATTTCCACTACATTTTTTAATAAACTTCTATACTTAAATTATATTTACCTCTTCAAACAATACTTAAAAGCTTAAATTTCAATAATGATTTTTCGATATTTTTTAAATTATTTTTTTGTTTGTTTTTAGCCTATTTTTTATTTACTTAAATATTTTATTGATTTTTAAACAAAAAGTATGCATTATTCTCATTATTGATATCATCTAAATTTATTTGTTTTTTTCAAAAATTAAAAACTCAAATTTTTAAATTATTTTGTTGAATTTTTTTTACTTTTCAATAAACTGTCATCTAAATAAATAAATCTTTGATTAAGAAAAAATATTAATTAATTTTGAGTGTTTTAACAAATTATAATTGTTATAGAATTTTAAACAAAAATGAATTAAAACCTAATAATTAAATTGTTATCATTTTAATAAAAATTGAATAATTACCAATTATTACTCAAAATAAATGGTAAATATCTAATGTATTTCATATATTTACTTTTAAAATTAATTAAATTTTAATTGATATTTAAAATAAACACTAAATTATTGATAATATTATTATATTTAAAATTAATTTAATTTATTTTAGGTTGATTAGAGTATTTTCAATGAGTCCTTCCATTTTTGTGCTTTTAAGATTCAACAAATATGGTAGTAGTAGGAAATGAAAATTGCTCTTTGAAATCATCTGTAACACATTATGAGTACAAAACAAATAGCAATGACTCTATTTTATGGTGGAGTTAAACTCCTTAGAATAAACCTCTTGTGTTTTCGAATTCCATTCTACTTCCTTCATCAAGATCGAAGTCACTATCAGAAAAAATAACTGATGAATCTTTTCTTTTGACCTTCTTTTTAGAGGCTTTTTCTTCTTGCTTCTATTAAGCTTATGATTATAACATTTATTATTGCTTTAGCTACTAGCCTCTCTGCTATTTTTCCTTCCACTGTTTGATAATTAGCATTTTATTTACATTTAAATATCAATTTAACGATTTCAAATAAAATATTATTTTAATTTATAAATGATAATTAAAGAGAAAAAAAACAAGATAAATTTATTTACTTCTTTAATAAATGAATCCAATTTTTCATAAAACAACCTATCTGCTAAACGGGATAAAGCTTCAAGTAACTCTGTGATACCCATTTAGTAATGTCTATCATACTTAATCTCATCAATTTAAGTCATCATGCTCAAGTTAAAAATTGCATTTACATCTCTTTCAGTAAATCTGTTTCCAATTAAATCAGCATCACTGCACATAGACCTGAATTCTTCCATGGTCATATATTTGAAAGCCATAAATTGTCTCTTTTTCAAGGGATCACTGTATTTATTAAACACGTTTTTAATGATTGGATTATAATATTTAAAACAAAAATCGCATCTTTCATTCCACAAATTAGATTAGCGCCAAGCTTAACTTGTTTGATACCTCCTCAGGGCGTTTAAATATCCTTCATTTAGCAGCAAAGACAAAGCTTATGAATATTTATTTGTAATTTTATGTCTAATATATTTATCTTCTGCTAGTCTTACAATCATTTCCATAAATTAATATCTAATTAAGCCCTTTTCTGGATTTCTAGGGTTTCTCTTAATTTTACTACTTGTTTTTGTTACAACGAATTTTAGATCTACATCTGATAATTTTAAGTTTAAATTATCAATAATATTTGTTTTGTTGATAAAATCTGTAAATGTATTCATCATAATGCATGGTACATCAATTATTGTTCCTACAGCTGCAAGATATCTGTAAGCATTTTTTATATGAACATAAATACCTCTAAGCTCTTCTTTTACGAGCTACAAATCGTTTTCGTCTCTTATAAATTAGTTAATCTTTGAGCACTCCCAATCAAATTCAAAGCACTTTTTCATCAAGCTCTATTAAATTTGAAATAAATAAAATTTATGAATTATTTTATAATAAGCATTTTAATAATATTTTTATTTGATGAAAAAATAGATGTAATAAATTAAATTAAATTTGTTCTTAAAATTCAATTCAAAAAAAAATATTTGAGAATCTAAAAATTGATAAATATTTGTTAATTCTCAAATATTTTTTAGAAAGTAATTTAATATTTTGTAGTAAAAAAAGATTGGTATTATATTTAAATTAAATTACTTCGTCTTCTAGTTTGAAATCTTTAAAGAGAGATTACTAAAAGTCCCACATTTAAGCTGCTAATTATAATTATTCTCTTCCTTAAAGTTACATCCTGGGACGAAGTTTGATTTAAGGAATATAAATCAAATCTGCTTAATTGGTAACATTAGCTACGCTTATATTAAGATTTGTACTTTTTTGAACACTCGTGTTCAAATTTTTATTTTTTGTTGGAGACTAAGGCGCTTTTTCGGTGGCTTTTAGCGAGAAAATATTAAAATATTTTTTAGTTTAGATGATATTAAAAGTTTTAATTTCTAATTTTTTTTATTTTTTGATAGGCTTATCGAAAATAATCAAATTTCCAAGTAACTTATATTAAACGTTATCCATTTCTTTCTTTATAGCTTTTTCTTCCTCTTTTTAAAACTAAGAAAGGTCGTCTAGTTTCTTCCTGTTAAAGTTTCCTTTAGAAGAGGCATCTAATTATATTTAAATTTTCTCTTTCCGTTGTTCCCAATCTCTTTAGCTGTTAATTATATCTTCTAAAATGAAAGACTTTTTGCTATGATCTATCTCCTTTGAAGTGAAATTTACTATAATCCCTTTCTAAATTTTTATTAATATTTAATTTAATTTGTTTGTTTGTTTATAAAAATAATTTATTAATCAAATATTAATTTAATAAAAATATTTTAAATATTTCCAATTTCCTATTGAATAAAGAGAAAAGATTTGATTACTTCCTCAAATCTCATTGGTTAATCTTTAGCAATTTTTATATTAGTCATTCCATCTAAAGAAAAGAAATATCTAATCTAGCATTTAGGAGGTACCATCCTAACTAGATAGAAATATCCGTAGTTACTACTCTCATCATTCATTCTTAGAGCTGTATAGCCATCAATTTCTAAATGCAAGTAAATAGTTTCAATATTCTCCAGATCTCCTGAATTAACAGTCCATTCAAAAGTGTGTTCATACCAACCTTCGCATATCCAACAGTTATCTCCAGCCCTGATAGGTAATTCTTCTTGAAACTCTTTCATTAATCTGTGTTCTCCATATCCTTTGAACCTTATCATTTTAAAGGAAAAATATTATGTAATTATATTAAATTAAAGCAAAGTATTAATTAATTACTTAACTCCATCGATTCTTTTGGATAAATCAGGCACATTATTTGCATCGAATAAATCTTTAGCATAACATTGATTTATAAATCCTTAATATGTGATAAAGCAGTCATGTCCAGCAAAATGAAAGCCTATTATAGAAGTATTCTTTTTAATAACCTTAGATAAAAAAAGGCAGTCTTAAATTCTAAATTAATTATAGCTTAAATCCAAATGGCAAATTGAAGTTTCGTTATTTGCCTCACAAATTTTCCTAAACGCATTATTAAAAAGATCATAATTAGATGATAAGCCTATTTAATTATGTGATAAATCTAACACTTTCATTCTTCCATTTTCTCTACAAGCATCAATTATTAGGGCACCTCCTTCTCCTATATTATTTTATTCAAATTATTTAAAAAAATAAGTTCAAATAAAACTTAATTCCAAAAGTAAAATTCTAAATTTTAGCAATTAAATTATTTAAAAGTTTGTAGATAACTATTTAAATAAAAAGTATGAAACAAGTTGATAAACGAAATTTTAGCTAATTAATGTTTGAAATAGAAATTTAAATAATATAATTATATAAAAAGATGATTTGTTATAATTATGTAGGTAGAGGAGCTAAAAGGTGTAAATAAAATAAATACCTTGTATCTTATTCCAATATAAGTAGAGTTCTCTAAAATTAAATAAATTATGTATCATGTCCTCAATACTATAACAGCTTTTGTTTGTTATGCAGTTTTAAGATAAGTTAAGTATCCTTAAGCTTTTGATATATTGCAGACCTGTGCATAAAATATCCACACCCTAATCTCCTAAACCAGTTTTTTCTAATTTTAAAACCTATAAGTTGTACTAATCAACAACAAATTTCTACAAAATTGAATTTATATTTTCTTCTGTCACTTGATTATTTGACAAATCTAACTCTTTAACATCTATTTCCATACAATTAATTACTTACTAAATTCCTTTTTCAGTGAAACCATTATGTTTTAAATTCAAAGTATCTAAATTTTCTAGTTTACTTAATCCTGCACAAAAAATATCTACTGATTAATCTCCAATATTGTAGTAGCTTTATTTTTTTACATAATATCAATTTTATTTATATTTAAAAAGATTAAATTAAAGAAAGTATCTTTATTTTTTAAGTTTTAAAATATGTTATGATATATAAAATTAAAAAAAGCTTCAATAAAAATATTGTTTTTATACTAATTTTATTTAGAATATTTTAATCTAATTTATTTGTAAATGGAAATAAAAATAATACCTTATATCAATTTTTTTGCTATTTTTTCTTTGTTGAGCTATCCCATATTTCATTGGCAATCTATTTTTTTCATCTATTTTAAACAATAATGAGTGTAGAGCAGTCTCCACTTCACTTTAATAAGATATTTGTTCTTTTGACTTGTCTATTTTTTTATATATTTCTCTAAACTTTTATTAAGCAGCCTAGTCATGAGTTGTAACTGCTTGCTTAGTCAAATCAGGTTATATTTAATTTTTTTTTGATTAGGTATAAATCCTTTTTATTGTATGCAAACTGTCATCTTGATCCGCAGAACTAGGCCTATTCACTGTATTTAAGAACTTTATATTCTAATAGTGACTTTTTTCTTGTGGACTCATTGGTCTTATTTTAGGATTCAATTTGAGCTTGTATTTTGTTTTTATTACAGTACTAGAGATGCTTTTTTCTGATTCCATTTAAGGAACACTTGGATTTTATTGTTGAGTATCTTCTTAAATATTATGCATTGATTCTTCTTATTTGTTTTCTTATCGTTCTTTACTAATTAGTTCTTCATTGTTTTATTATACTTATTACTAATCATCTTAATTTATTTACTCTTGCTGATCATTTTTTTACTCTAGAGAAGCTTATCTTTTTAAGAGCTTAGCTATTTTTCTCTACTCTGATTTTTATTTCTCATTTTAAATCTATTAATTAACAAAATTATTATGTTATTCAACCTACTGCTGTGTTTATTTTAAAACTCTTTCTGTCCTATTTGGACTAATACAATACTTATTTCTATTTTTTATATTGCTACTACTACTTCTACTATTAGTCATCTTAATCTTATTAACATTTTCTCTATTCTTCCATCCATCTTTCTCAGCATCAGCCTGAGCAGAATTAGGGCGATTTTTGAAGAATTAATTAATTTTAATTTTTTTAATCATTACTTCCTGCTGTTTTTCATTTGGCTTCATAAAGCAACTACTGTTTACATCTTTTAAATTTGTAAAGGAAATTTATGATTGGACTTCAAGAGGTATGCTTAAATTTAAGACTTAGTCTATTTTGCTTTAACGAAGCTCTTTACTAAGTCTTGATTGCTAAAAATTAAATAAATCTTTAACAACAATACTCTCTCTATTTACTTTATTTATGTCTTAAGATGATTAAAATACTGAAATTTTCTTGCTTAATTGTAATGGCATCTGATTTAAATTTTATGAGAATCGTATAACTTTTAACTAAGGATTAAAGCTCAACTATAATGGTATTGATTCTTCCAAATTTTATGGTAATTATGGTTTTGAAATAGGTAGAGCAGCTGCTTACTGCTACAGCTATTTCTACTAAAATTAAACAAACTTTTTTCTTTGATCTTCATACGGTTGAATTCTTAATACTTTTTCTTTAGATTTGAATTGAAAAGCCTACATAACAAAAGCATCTAAAAATATCTATATTAATAATTTAAAAGCATTACAATTTTACTATTTAGATAAATAAATGATGATTTAGGTTTTTAATTAGATTATTTAAATCTAAGGTAATTTGATTAAACTGAGCAATCATCTCAGTAATCCTTAAACTAAAATTCGATTATATAATTTAAAATTAAAATAATAATGATAAGAAAGCCTAAATTAAATAAAAAAATGCCTTTCTACGTTAAACATAAAAATAAATTAAAAGGAAATAAAAAAAATCAGAGTATATATATATATACAATATATACTGGAATATTTAATTAATTTTTTTCTAATTAATTAACTGGTAAAAAAATACACATAAATATGTCAAAAATTAATTTTATTCTATTTAGTTTGCATTATCAATATACTTTATATCTAATATCTAATTCCTACTATATTTTTAAGAACACACTTTAAATATAAATATTAAAATTCATTAATTAATGTTACACTAATTTTTTTGTGATATCTCTTACCTTATGCAAATTTATAAATTCATATAATTTATTTGCTCTTTTTTCCATTTATAATTAATTAAATTTCGATTAATTGTTATTGACTATTTTTGAAAAAAATAAATGATATAATAGATTTAATATTACAACAAATTAGAAGAAGTAATTATTTATTTTTTTAAAATATAATTTTAATTTATTTTTGCTCATAAAAAAAGTTTTTAAACTCTTCACTTTAATCTCATTAGGCTGTCAATATTAATCTGACGTATATTTAATTTATAAATGTTATTGTTATATTTAATATTTTTTTTATATTTAACTTTCAGTTAATTAAAAATTTTATTTTTATCCTTTATAGTACATTTTATTTATTTAAAATGTTTTTTTAGTTATTTTAATTTAATTTAATTTTCATTTTACATTTTTTAAATTCATTCATTATCCATTTTTTATTATTTAAAATGTTTAATTGATAAAAACAGTTTATTAGTTTTGGATTGTGATATTTTTCCATAAAAATTCAATTTTAAACATAAAACTCTTAGCATTTTTTATTTTATTTTATTTTTATTTAATTTAATTTACTTTTCTTTTACTTTTTTATTGTAGTTGTATATATTTTTGTTCTCTTTTTGTTGATTTAAATGATTTTTTTGTTTTCGTTATTTGCTTTTATTATTTATTAATTCATTTCTTGGTATTTCATATTTTTTCAACATCTTTTCCTTCTGAATTACTATTTATTTAATTATATATTTTTTCTTCAATATTTAAAAAGGTGGAATAAAATTGGTGTAATCAGTGCATCAGGCTTAGGTCCTGCTTTAGCTAATTGCATTAATCTCTCAAATTTGTCATTTAATCTTAGGTAAATTCAGCTCTTTTAATTATTTTATTGAATTGTATTTGATTTACTTTTCTTTTTCTTTTTTATTGAACTTGTATTTATCTTTTCTTCTATCTTTCTAAATTTAATTCATTTTTTTAATTTCAATATTTACTTACTTTTATCATTTATTTATTTAATAATTCAATTATTTTCATATTTTTTCTTCATTTTTTTATTCTAAATTACTAATAATTTATAAATTTTTTCTTTAATATTCAAAAAGTTACAATTAAATTGGTGAAATAGGTGCATAAGATTTAGGTTCTGCTTTAGCAAATTGCACTAATCTCTCAAATTTGACACTTTATCTTGAGTTAATTCAGTTTATTTGTTTGGATTGTGATATTCTTTCTTATAAAATTAAATTTAAAACAATATAGCTCTTTTAATTTGCTTATCGCTTTTATTTGATTTACTTTTCTTTTTCTTTGTATTTGTGTTTATTTTTGTTCTATGTTTGTTGATTTAACTAATTTTTTCATTTTTAATATTAGTTTTTATTATTTATTAATACAATTATTTTAATATTTTTTCATCATTTTCTTCTTCTAAATTACTAATTAATTATAATTTTTTTCTTCAATATTTAAAAAGTTACAATTAAATTGGTGCAATTGGTGCATCAAGCTTAGGTTCTGCTTTAGCAAATTGCACTCATCTCTCAAATTTGGCACTTCACCTTGGGTAATCAGTTTATTTATTTTGGATTGTGATATATTTACTAAAAAAATTGAATTTAAACAAATTAGCTCTTTTAATTTGCTTATTGCTTTTTATTTTTTTTATTTTGAACTTGTTTTTATTTTTTCTTCATTTTCTTCTCCTAAATTACTAATTAATTTTAATTTTTTTCTTAAATATTTAAAAAGTTACAATTAAATTGGTGATTAAGGTGCATCAGGCTTAAGCTCTGCTTTAAAGAATTGCATTAATCTGTCTAATTTGACACTTCAACTTGGGTAAATTCAGTTTATTTGTTTTGGATTGTTATTTTTTACATATAAAGATGTGTTTAAAATAACAAAGCTTCTTTAATTTTTTTATTGCCTTTTTATTTGGTTTATTTATTTTATCTTTTATATTCTAATAATGTTTTTTTATTAATTTTAAACATATTTTTTATCAAAAAATTTTATTCTATTTAATTTTTTTTAGTTTCTTATTTTAATTTAACATAATAAAGAGTAAACGAAATCAATGAATCATAATAATTGAAAATAATAAGCAAGTGTCTTAAATTAAAAAGATTAGTTGTCTTTGTCCTAAACTTCTGATGGTGATAGACAAATTGTGAAAAAGGATGAATAAATATAAAATATTTAAATAATAGAAAATAATATGTTTTATTATATAATATTTTGTAATAAAATAATTTAACCTTAAACATAGATAGATTTATTATTATTTTTATATTTATGAATCAAATTTATTTTAGTAAATTAATAAATAACTTATTAAATAAATGAAATTATCTCAGTTTTTACCAAAAAACAATAAAAGATTTTAATTAAAAATTAAACTCTTTATTAAGGAATTTGAGGAGTTATAAATTGCAAACTCTAAATTTCTATTTATTAATTAATTATATATCATGAGAAATTAGATACCATGATTGAAAACAGTGTATATTGATTTAGATAATATAGAAGCATCAAATAGAATTTTGAAATCTATTTATTGAAAAACAAAACTTTAATATTAGAATTAAATTGATTTATTTTAAATACCATTTCCTCCTCTTCCTTCTTCGATAACAGTGATGTCTTTTCCTTCTTTAACCCTCTTTTCCCAATCTTGAATTGTTTATTAAAAGAATCGAATTATTTCACGATAATATTTAAAAAGTGAGTTTAACCAAATTAAAAATATTGGTTGGTAATCTAAAAAATGAATTAGTTAATTAATATATTCGATTTTATACAAATACTTAAATAAATAAATAGTTTCTATATAAAATAAATAAACAAAATTTTAATCTTAGTAATTTTGTTATTTTTTGTTAGATTATAAATACAAATATTATTAATTCTAATAAAATAATTTTTAAAATAGTTAAATTATAATTTTTGATGAAATTCAAATTGGTTTTTAATTTTATCAAATATTAAAATGAAAATAATGTTAATGGTAATAAAATTAAAATAATGAATGAATAGATAAATAGATTATTCTTTATTATAATATTTTAAATTTTAAGTAACTAATAGCAAATAAATAGTTATTATTAATAAATTATATTATATTTTAATAAATTTTTTAGTTTATTTAGAAGTAAATAGCTTCTAAGCTGAAAAATATAGTCAGGAGGCATAAATACAGGTAGGTAGACTGTTAATTCCTTCAATCTAGAATTATTTAAAAATTAAAATAAATATACTCATGAATAATTAGTTAGTTGATTTATTTATTTAGTAAAATATTTATTTATAACAAGAAATGTTACCAAAAGTTCTGAAAGGACCTTAGGTTGAGAAAAAAGATTGCTTTTATTTATCTGAAGTGTTTGAGACATAACTAATCATTTAGAAATTCGGAAGATCATGATAGCCTCTTTAGAACATCAGGGAGGTGTTTTAAGATATTTGGCGACCTTATTTAATTCTTTCTACACTTGTTACAAAGTCTTTTCTATTTACTATAGATGATTAATCCGTTATTTTTCTTTGTTTATTGAAAGTTTTAGTTGTTAAAGATATGTCAGGAGTAAAAGTACATTCATCGCATTGCTTTTCATATTCTATATCATATGTAGATTTATCTCTTTTTTAAGATGATGTTTTAAACATCGTCTTATAGAGATTTAGAGATGACTACATTCCAATAGTTGTGTTACATAATTTGTCTTTATTTCTTTCTATGTTTGGCTAGAATGTGCACTCTTCTAGCTCTTTTTCACTTTGTACTTTTTTCATATCTTCATGCCTCTTCATTTACATATTTCTTTGCTTTACTAAAAGATCTACATGTTGATTTGGTGTTAAGGGTTTCTTAAGATCAATAGAAATAATCTTTCCGCTCAAATAAGTAGAGTTTTTCTTCTTTTATGGTTAGTTTGCCTTTTTTTGCTCAGTTATAGTTCTTTGACTCAAATTACCTATTTATTGTTAGTTTAGTCTATTCTTTATTAGTAAATCATACTTAATTTGAATTGAGCACTAATCTTCGCCAACATACCAGTTTTCACCTTCAAAGTATCCATATACTTTTTTTTATTCAAATTACTACTCGTTTTTAGTCCTTTCTTATAATTTATTCATAGCCTCTTAGAATTTTAAATCTTAGTTCAAGAATTTGGTTTAAGTTTAGTTAGCAGCCTCTTCTTCTACATTTGTTATCCTATTTGTAATCACAGAATTTCCATCAGAGTTCACAATCGAAATTTAAGAAATCTTGATAAATAAAATAAATATTTAATAATTTAATGAATGATAAAAAATATTCAAATGGTTTTTAAATAATGTAAATTTATTTCACTAGATAAATTTATCCTAATGACAAATCTATTGAAAATTACATAGCTTGTTTGTTTATAAATTGAAATAAAAATAATTTTTATTTTTTGTCTACCTTTCTAATATTTGAACCTATTGGAGTAAAGTTTTTTGGCGATGTTTTTTCAGATATTTCAGCAGCACTTTCAAAATTAAATGTAGAGCTTTATTATTTAAGATTTTGAATGTTTTTGCATGAGCTAGGGAAAATTTATGCAAATTCTTCTAAAACATTTGGGTTCTTAATTCCTTGTAAATACAATAAAAATAATCCAAAATTTCTTTTTGAAACTCCTCTAAACTTATCTCCTTTTAGATTGCACCAAATATCATATACAAGGCTTCTTTCTTTTGCAAGATTTGGGTTGGTTAGTTTAGTTTGGTTATTAATTTGTGAAGAAGGGGTGATAAATAGAAGAAGTTCCAAGATTTAGTTCATTCTCAAGTAATCAACTCTTTATGTATTGCAATTCTGATGAGCTGGTGTCTAGTCGGAAGATTCTGTCTATGGAACAACTTAATTCCACACATTTGAGAATAGTTTAACGAAGCTATAAGTATAAACCTACTCTGAACGTTCGTTTAAAGAAATGCTGCAGCTAGATATGCTGCTATTTTTATTATTGTATGAGCTTAAGCTTCTTTCTTATTAAGAGTTTCTTCTGCTTTACTGATGTCTTCTCTATGCATCATTATATAAAATAACAGAAATATGATCTTTTCTTTTCAAACTTTTGCTCTTTGAGTTAATCCTAGGAGAAAACATACCTGATTCTTCTAGCAAAATAGAAGTATTTGTGTTATTTACTTGCGCTTATTTTGGGCTTTAGTATCTTTTATCATTATTGCCTCCAACAATCTCATTTAGTTTATTTAATGATGCTTAATTATTTTTTAAATCCTTCAAATTATAAAGTCTTTCATGTATAGGTACTGACTTATCTCTTCCAACAGGGCTTCTTGTTTCATTGATCTTGGGCTTCAAAGTGAGTTCTCTAAATAATTAAAAAGGAAATTTATTTAATAAAATTTATTTAAAATGAATTATTGACTATCATTTTAAAAACTCATATGACATTTTATTTTGAATTATAAATCAAGATTATAAAATTAATTTTTAATTTAATTTTGATAAGGAAAATTAATCAGATTACAAAATGAATAAAATTTTGATTGATTGAAAAAGGAAGTACTAACATAATTTATCTTAGTTTTCCTCTGTTTTTTTGTGAAAATTATATTTAGATTTTAATGAATAAGTATTTTTTGCTATCCAAGTTATATGGTTATTTATCGACATTTTAAGATTTATTAAATGAATAAAATTATAAATAAAACTTACTTTGTTTCTTGTTAGGAAACTAATTATTTTAATTGGGTTTATTTATGTTTTTTGTTAATCTCAAATTTCTTTTAATCTTCAAGGAAATTTTCAAGTGTACGCTTGTTTTCAGAGTTATTTCTATTTATTTATGGAGAAAATACACATTCTTTTAATTCTTTTTGGTCTTCTTAAAATTTGAGCTGTTCTTTATGATCTGAAAACTCTTTTGCTTTGTTGTAAAGCGAGTTGAAAAAACTTTCTCTAGAAGTGCTGAACTGAGTAGAGTTTTTTGGGCTATCAATATTTTCAATGGGCCTTTGATCAAGTTAATTATTTTCTATTAATTTTTAAAATAAATAAAAGTTGAACAATAAATAATCAATATATATTTGAAATTAAATATCCTGAAGGAGCTTATTAGTAAAAGGCCAAAATAAAATATTTCATAATTCTTTTTAATTTTTGAAAAAATCCTACTTTGTTCTTTTCATTTTTATATAAATTTTAACACTAATCTTCTAAAAGTAACACTAAGAACTGATAAGTGTCATAAAATCATCACTAAAAATTTTTTTTAACATATTTAAAATCATTAATTACATTTTTTGTCATCAAGAACTTGTCCTTTCAACACAAGACTTTGTAATTTACTATTTAAATCCTTTGGTGTCTGCTAAACATTAGAACCATTTTGAACTTTGCTAGATTCCAAAACGCTTAAAGAAATATCTATGCTCTTAACGTTTTTGACTTAGCCTATGTATGTTGTTATTTTTAAAAAACAAACTGTTAATATTTTTCTTAATTAATGTCAATTCTTAAAAAAGCAAAGATGAAGACATTATAAAGTTGTTATAAAATGCTGAGTAGCTGTTTATTTTTTCTTAGATAAATTTATAAAAGAAGTTAGAATTGAAAAAAGCTTAAATTTTATAGCTAACTCCATGTAGCTAGTTCACTTATGCTCATGATTAAATAAATTGATAATTTTATTTCTACTTTTTTAAGGCATATGATAAGAATGGCTATTTTCTTTATCGTGCTACTTTTAAGTGCCTTAAGTGGACTTCTTGCTGTTTTTTAAGTAACTCATCTATCTATCTAGAATTTAGTTTGCAGCTACTTTTTATGTATGTATTTATTTATTGATTTATCTTACAATTAAACTTCTATTTATTAGTTTAAAACACTCTTTTGTTTTTATATCTAATCAAGCTAATTATTAATTAATTAATTATTAATATGCTTTCTATTTGAATTTCAACACAACCTTACTAACGGTCTACTAATTTCTTTCTTTACCTATCTCGTTTACTATTTATCACTAAAATAATGAATAATTTATTTTTTTGAAAAATCAATAATGAAGTAATATTTATATCTAGGTTCTTAATTAGAATCCAAGTTAAAAAAACAAATAATATTTAAATCCGTCTTATTTCTTTATGTGAATATTAACAATAAATCAATGGGATGAAAAATCAATCCATAAAATAAATAATAAACCAATTTTTCAAAATAAATTTATAAATTGATTACTAAGATATACATTTTTTAAAAAGAAATAAGTCAATTCATTTAATTTTAAAATAATTTTTAAAGTTAAACTAGTAAAAATTAAAATAATATAATTTAATTAATGAATAAACATTTTAATTTTATTAATAGATACACTTTTAAAAAGAGATTATATTTGTGTTAAATAGCATAAATAATATTAATTTTTAAAAATTAATTAATAATCTTTTTATCAAATTAAATAGGATTTATTTACTAATTATTATCATACTTTTTTTGATTCATTAAAATATTAAGAAATAATTTCTAATTTAAATTAATTCAATAAAAATTATTTAAATACTAAATGTTTAACGATTGTTAATTTTATGAAAGTTAAATTATTATTTTCAATAGATTTATAGTTAAACTAGCCTCATTAATTTATTGTAAAACTTTCTGTCTATTTTCTATTTTTCAATATTATCTTTTTCACTATATTTTAAATAATTAAAAATCAAAAATGGATAAATTAAATGGATTTCATGAATGAATAAAATTTCGATTTAGATTTCTGTGCAAATAAAAAATTATTGTAATCTATTTGGTTTTAATAAATAAATAAAATATTTACTTTAAAGTCAGTGATAGTAAATAAAGGTTAGAGCATTTAGATAATTCTTTAATTAAGTCAGGCACTTTTGACAAACCAATTTTATTAAACCTTAATTTTAGTTTTAATTAATTAGTAAAAGTTTCATAAATAAATTAATATTTATTTAAAGTCTGTCTAAATTTAATCTTCGTAAATTAGATATTTTAGACAAAGCTGTACCTAAATTAACAATACCTTAATCTTAGATGTTATTTTTCCTATTTTTTTCATCAAAAAAAACTAATTATTGAATATTAATTTAAATATACCTTATGTTGATGCTTAAATCAGTTAGATTTTCAAATTTAGCTATAATTGGATATATAACATTAATTCCTTTAGTTCCAATATTATTATAACTATTATGAAGAAATAATAAATCTTATAATAACAAATAAAGTGCTAAGTGTAAAAAATTATAATATCTTTTTTCTTTTTAAATTTGCTTTAAAAACTAGAAAAAATATTTATTACCTTAAATCGATTGGATTAGAAAGTAAGTGAAAACAAAGAATTATTAATTAATCATTTTTATTAACTATTTATTTAAACTAAAAAAAAATTACGATATATCTATTGTCAAGGTTGTGATATTTTTGCATTGTGTTAAAGATGCCTTTAATTTTGTTAAGTCTTAATTATTTATAGCATTTTTGTTTAATAAAATATAAATTTAAAATATATTTTGATAAATTTATATAAATTAAGCTTACTAAATTTTTAAAATTATTTTCTAAATTAAAATCTAAATAGAGGATAGTATGTTTAGAAAAGTCAGATTATAAGAACTTTTTAAATTAAAAAATTTAATTATTAAAAATAATTATTTAAAATCTTTAATTACTTTATTGAGTGAACTGTAAATTCTATTTTATTTAATTCAACATCTTTTTAATTTCTATTTATTTATCTTTTTAAATATTTGAGATAATTTTTCTAATTTTTTATAAACTAATATTTTAATCAAAGTTATTTAGTGTCTGTCTTTTCACATAATTTATATATTTATTAAAAATTAAATGTATTTTTTTAATTAAACCTAATAATTCTCTCATACAATTTCAAAAAAATAAAAATTAAATGGGTTCTATTGAGGATATAAAGTAAGCAAGTAAAGTCTTTTTTAAATTGATGTCCTGATTATAAATTAATTCTCTACATTTTCTTTTTGATTAAATCATTAAAATAATAATAAATTAAATAAATAAATAAATTGCTAATTAATTAATTAATTCTTTAAATTGAGTAAAATGGGTTAATAATAATAAAAGTAATTAATTGTTTCAAACTATAATTTAGAATATGATCTTGAAAAGGTAAATTAATTACTAAGAAATGTATTTAATTTTCATATTTTTATTTCAAAAGTTTTTAAGGACTGAGTTTTCTTCTCATTTTACTCTCAAAATAACACTCTAGTTAAATTATTATAAATATTCTTCTAACCTTAACAAATTTAATTAATTTTTTTTATTTTTAAAAATCTAATTTTATGAATGAATACTTATTTTTAATTAACTAAAAAGACATTTGAGTTCTGGTGATTCTTTCATTTTTGATTTGAGTAAATCAATAGTTTAATGCAATAATCTTTAAGAACTTACTTTGAATTTAAAGTAAAATGCTATTTAATTTTCAAATATCGCAATTCTTATATTTCATCCAACCACATACATTAATTGGTTTAAAAAAATATATATAAATTACCATAAACTAGAAAAAAAAAAAATTTAAAATTGGCACTTAAGTAAATTTACTCTAATATACAATATTTATTTTATATTAAAAGTGATTGCTTTGTTAGCATAAAGGGAACAACTTATTTAAGCTAAATTTTACCAAAGCTTTAGAATTTGATTACTTTGAAAATTGATCTAGAGTAGAAATATTTATTTATACTTAAAATTAAACATTATAAATATTTTTTTCATTTCAAAAATTACTAATTAATAAATAAAGCTGGAATCATATTGACTCTATTGCTGTATAAGATTTAAGTTCTGTATTTTCGAATTGTACTAAACTTTAAAATTTGAGCTTCAATGCATCGTAAAAACGACATTCATTTTTAAATTTTATGTTTTCTTTGTTAATAATGAATATTTTTTTAATTAAAATATATTTATTTTAGAATCAAATTTAATTTAAATAAATTTATTAATTTATTTTACATAATAAAGCAACAATTTAATTACAGACTAAGGTGCATATGAGTTAGCATTTAATTTGTTGAATTGTAAAAATGTCAGAAATCTAAGTTTATAATTAAAGTAATCAAAACAGTTTAGTTATTTGCCAAATAAAATTTCAAAATGAATAATTAGATTGCAAATATGAAATTTCTATTTAATTTAAAAATAATTTAATTTATTTTAAAAAGCAACAATTATATTACTGAATAAGGTGCATATTAGTTTGCATTAATTTTGGCGAAATGTGGAAATGTCTAAAATCTATGCTTGTAGTTAAAGTAATTAAAACAATTCATTTTATTTGTGCAAAAAAAAATGTGAATAATTAATTTCATTTCATAAAGCTTAATTTTTTAGTTTTATAAATTGATTTTTTTTTTTAGAAACTTTCATTATTATTTATTAATTTAATAAAGTGGAATTGGTATTCAATTAAGTAATAGATTGAAATTGACAATGAGACTTCTAAAAGCTAAGAGATTAGTCCAGTTATATACTTCTTTTAATTGATATTTTTATTGTATTTCATATTGTAGGAATCAAAAATAAAAACTACCTAAAAGATAATACTAAAAAATATATATATATATCATAACTTTTAATTTATTCTAATTTTATTCATTAAATTCATAAACAAATTATTTTTGGAAATTGGCAATACTATTATTTTAAAATTGAAAAAAACTCATAAGTCAAATATTGGAGAAAAGGCATTAAATATTTTAGAAATTTGATAAAATGAATGCGAAAAAAAGAATGGACATATAAACAAAAAAATATTGAAAATTTATTTAATAAAGAAGAATTTTTTGGTAATAAATTATAAAAGTTATTTGAATAAAAAATAATTGCATTCTATTTACCTTTAAATTAAAAAAAAAAATAAAAATATTTTATTTTTAATCATACTTTTAGCATATTATGTAGATATTATAATAAAATTTTAATTAAGTAAGTTAATTTTAACAAAAACTTTCTTTGTTTTTAAGATGTACTTTAGTGTTTATATATTTAAGTTTATAATCTGAAAAGATTAATACTTTATAAAAGAGATTCAATTAATGTTTATTTAGAATTAATAATTATCAAAAATTAGAAATTTTTGTTTCGTTCTACATACTTTTGATTAATTTTAGGTAAAATTAATAACAAGTAAAAAGCAATTAATTAATTCATAAATGATTAATATATTTCAGGTGTTAATTAATTAGAATGAATTATTACCTTCATTATATTTAATATAATTAAGAAAGATACATTCTATTCATAAAAACCCTTTGAAATATTAATATGGGTTACGAAATCATTTTACTGGCAAGCATTCCAGTAGTAGTAGCATTTATGAGCTCAATAATCGCTTAGTAAATTGCATTGTATTATACAAAATAAATGGTTAATTAATACACCGACAACCTCTTTGAGAATTAGATAATGCTTAGCAGTTTATCCACTTAAATTCTTTCTTACAGATTAAGTAAAGAGGTGTATAAATTCCCTGTGTATTTATAATAGATTAATAGCTATTATTTAAAGATTATTTAAGGAAAAGTTAAATATAATCCTAATCATATTTAAGCGCTCACCAATATATTTCTATTGTATAACCAAAAAGAAGATCCTGTCTTGACTACGATGAGCTTGAAAAATCCCTTTTTAGTAAATAGTTGGTACCACATTATCCTTAAAAATAATAACTTATTTTCTCAAAACGATCAATTTAAAATAGAATTTCATTATTTTTTATTTTAAATTAATTTTCTCACATGATCTTTGATTTTATAAATGTTCTTTTTAAAGTTTTTATTACAAAACGCATATGGAATTTTAGAATTTATGCCCCATTTTTGAGACAAATTATCAATAGAAAAAATAATTAAATTTTTGTCTTAAAATCTTTTGAAAAGAAATGAATGGAACAATATTTATTAATTTTATAACTAATTAATTAATGGCTTAAAAAAGCATCTATTTTGGTAAATTTAAATTGATTTTATTAACATTTAAATTTAGGTATGTAAAAAGCAAGACTGAAATAAGTTAGCTGGATCCTTTGGAGAAAATAAGCTTGTTTAATTCCTCTTATTTGAGCCCTCTAATAAAAACAATTGGCTACTATAACTAATTTAAATTTTCAAATCTAAGTGTATAGACCATACCTTACTAATAAGTTATTTTAGGAACTTCCTAATCTGGGTTACTATTTTCTAATTTTTTAAATTCTTCTCTTAAAGTCTCTGATTAACCAAGCGATAATTCTGACTTATTTTCATATGATCCGCGATAAAGATTTTGGTATTTAAATACTCTTAATCAGACTTCATTTTTTATGAATCCACCAGAAATTTCAGTAGGGATGGTTACTCCTTATTTATCATAATTTGCATGTGAAAAATTATTATTTTATAATGAATAAACGAAATAAGAAGAGGTTCATCATGTTCAGTGCATAGAAGCAATGCTCTCAAATTTACAATATTTCTTCTAAAATGTGATTTATTCTTCAAAATAATATTATATCATTGATCCTAGAACTCTATCTGTAGTATACGATTCTAACAAATAATAATAATACTCAACACAATCGAGCATTGACAATTTTTATGATGTTGAGCTCAAATATTTATAAAATTAAGCCGAGGCGTAGAGCTTTTTAGATTTAATAAATATTAAATATAATAAATGGGTTTATTAAACAACAGAAAATTACACTTCGATTGAGTAAATGATAGATTTAAGTTATTAGCATGATATTTTTGATTATCAGAGAAACTAATCTCTATATAAAGTCATAATTAATCCAATAATAGGGTATGATGATATACCTAAATATTTGATCAAAAATTCAATCAATCATACTTAGTAGCTAGAATATGTTTATTTGCAAATTAATATACTCTCAGATGAAGATTTAAGAGCTCAAGGTGATAAATTAATCACTTTTTCTTATAATTTATTTCTAGGTATAGAAATAGCAATAGGTGTTTTCAGTCTATTTTTTATAATTGCAACAGTTTATTATATCAAATAAATAAAGAATTTAATTTATCAACCAATAATTCATTTAACAAGGATTTTGAAATAGATTGATTAGCTGAACAGAATGGTTGAAATATCTGATATTATTCTAGAGTGTGGAAGAAATGCTGATGAAATATTTCTTTCATTTGAAACAAATATGCTTTATACCAGTTTTTATGAGCTATTTTAGCTAATTCAATACACTTCTGAAAATTTTTATGTTGAAAATGAGGGTAGGACTCTTATTAATCTGAGTAAGAGAGTTGATTTTTTTAAGAAATTTGGGAATTACTATGCAGTTGGAATTATTCACAATAATATAGGAAATATTCTCTTGAATCAGTAGCATTATTTTTAAGCACTTGAAAATTTTTCTTTGTCAATTATGTATTCTAAATATGAAATTTAACAATCGCTAATTCAAAACCCTTAATTGCTAAGCTTTCATGAACTTCAAACATATTGCTTTAAAGATATTATTGAAATTTAATCTACAAATAGTTATTGCTAAAAATATCTTAATAATTAAGAAAATTAAATCCATTTGAAATCTACAGAAAGAAAGAAAAAGACGTTAAGCAATCAAGCTAAAAAATCAGAATATTCCAAAACAAACAATATGAATACTTAAGATAGTTAGGCTGAATAGAATCTAAAAAAGCAAGTGATCACCATCTAAGCAATTTAGAACAAGGAATAAAGATGTTATTCTGGTTTCAAAGAATATGTTGAATAAAATGAAGAAAACGAAGATATAAATTAAATCATAGAATAAATTGAAAGTCTGTGTTTTAGATAGTTCAATTATATCTCAACTTTAATAGCCTTTTAAGAGGACTTAGACCACAAAAAACATGAATTTAATCACTTTAATTTTTGGCCTGAAATTAAAAATCTTGTTCAGCATCTTTTGCGATAATCAGATCTGCTTCCATAAAAATAGAATTTATAAGTTTTATGCTATTGTGTCATATCAAAGTGCTATTTTAGGTTATTTTAGAACTCAAAAGCAGAATATAAATTATAAAAAGTGTAATAAATCCTTAAATATATTTAGATTAAAAGTAAAGAGGACGATTTAAGCATCAGACAAAAAAATAAAAGTGAAATTCAGCAATAAAAAATTTTAAAAAAAATGTCAAGTGCACTAATAAATGATCATATCAATCAAATAAAAGCTAAAAGCCCATTTAAAAGTACAAAAAGATTTTTTGCTTAAACACCAATAAAATAGCATCGAAAGACTTCTATTTAATAATTATGTGATTAAAATAAAGCAAATGCAAATAATAGTCCTTTTTCTCACTCTCCTTAAAATAAGCCATTTTTTTCAAAAAAAAAAATAAAGATTGAAAATGAAATTGAATCATAACCAATATCTAATTTTAGAAGAAATAGCTTTAAAAAAAATGAGATGAATTCCTTCAATTTAGTTAAGAAAAAAGATGGCTCAAAAGGTTAAATCAGCAGTTCTTAATTAACAAAAGATTTATAAAATTTAATGAATAAAAAGAAAAAGAGTTCGTTAATTAATTTGACATATGAAATCTTAGCCTAATATTTTCAATTCACTTATGCAGAGTTTCTTTTATTTAAAAATAAATATAAAAGTTCTTCCTTAGTTCTAACTTAGATGCTTGAAAAGAATAAAAATTTAATGTCTCACATGCCATTCAAAATAGTTTATAAGTTAAATCAAATCTTTAGACATTTTCATATTTAAGATAAGTTCCTTTGTGAGGAGTATTCAAGATTCAACAATCAAACTTAGATTTAAATTGTAATTTCATTAGAAGCGAGCACATAAGAAAGCGATTAGTACTTCTCAAAAAATATTGATGAAGACTATGATCAAAGTAAATAAAACGATTTTATAATCTTAAATGAGCTGATTAAAAATGTATTGACAAATTAAAATGATAAATTAGCGATATCTATTATAAAAAAAGAAGAGAAATGTGTTTAATAATATATGGAATTAATAAATATACAACAAATTAAGTTATCCTTAGAATAATTATTTTATGAACTTTCTTGGTAAACTTCTCAAAATTTTTTTCATTATAATTAAATCTTTAAAACTTTAGAAATTTCCAATTATTATGAAAAGCAAGATATTTAAATTTCTTAACAAAATCATTCATTTTAAATTTTTAACACATCGTAGGAAAATATTTATAGCAATAATCAAAGAGAATTCATGGAATTTAGCAAAATGAATCAAACTAGATTTTATGAAAAATATATGTTTATCACTCAAATCAATCATTTAAATAATTAAAACTATAAAAACTAAGAAAATAGCAATAATCTTTTAAATCAAAATAATACTTCAGTTGGTCAAATATAAAATTTAAAAAAGTCAGAAATAGATTTAAAAACAGATTTTGTTCAATGCTAAGACTTTAACCAAACTTAAGAAGAGTATGATAGTGGAATAAAATTAAATTTATAAATATAAACAAATATTAGAAATTAATTAACTAGCGAAATTAGTAATTTATAAAAATATATAGACAACTAAAGTGTTAGTTTAAATATAAGTAACAGTTAAATAAATGTAGGTGCTTTATATGAAAAAAATGGTTTATTTCACCACTTTGTAAGATAAGCACTAATCTAACTAATAAATAAACAAATAAATTATAAATATATTGAACACTTGTATAATAAAAATAATAAGAAGCCATAAAAAATAGACTAAAATGAGCATTTCTTTAATAAAAAGCAGCTAAAAGCTTTAAGACAAAAATAAACACTTAAATTCATAGTTTATTTAACTGAATAAATATGTCTAATACAAAATGATTTGTTCAGAAGTCTATGTGAAATTTTAGCAGAGTTTAACATATAAATTTTAATAATTGCACATAAAAAGGGGACTAATTTCCTTGAGTAAAGCTAAAATTAGACCTATTGCTTTCAAGACAAAGAATTGATTAAGGTTTTTTATGAAGTTACAAAGCTCAATTCATATATTTCTTTTTAAAGGAACTAATTTACTAAATATACATACATGTCTTTTATATAAAAATTTTGATTTTAAACTATTTGTTTTGTTTTTTGCTGGAATCTTTGATTAAAAAATTCTAAATTAATTCATAATATTTATTTTTATGAATAAATCAATACAAAAATTATTTATTACTTCTTTCTAGTATTTAATTTATTTTTTATTTTTAAAAAAACCATTCTTAATTAAATTTAATATATAATGTAATAATTAATTAAATAAATATCTAAGGTTTGGTTCGCCAAATATATTTTTTTAAAAATTAAATAAAAACTCAGCTAGCTAAATCAAAATTTATATTATAATAGCTAAATACATATAAATTACATTATTTATTTCTTTTAAAAAAAAACATGAAATATATATATTTTTTTTAATTAATTGTATATTCATTTAAATTTGAGGAAGAACTATATTTATTTATTTAGTAAAGGAATGTAATTTAATTAATTAATTACTCAAAAAAATGAGATGAGATAATCATTCACTACTTTTTTATTAATTTTTATAGATGTCATCTTTCATCTTTTATAAGAGCTCCTATTTTGATTAAAAAAAAGCCGCATTAAACATCTAATTTATTTATGTGTTTTCTTCCAAATTTAAATCAGATATAGAAGCAATCTCTGAAATTATATGTTTACTTTAAGCTTCCTTTTTATCTTCAATTTCCTTTTAACTTGGTTTTTGCTCTAGTTCTCCAACAATTTGATTGCTGATTGAGGATTTATTTTATTCTTATTTTTATAAATTTTTAAAATTGCTTTTTTAGTAAGAAGGCATAATGTGTCTAGTTGAATGGATTGGAGATTATAAAGAGCTATTTAAGCTTTTCATATTTTAAACAGATTTATAAAAATCAGGTGAGCTCTTCAAATTAATAAAGGCTTTTTCTGAATTCTTAGGAGTATTAAAATCAAGATCGATAGTATTTTGATTATTATCATGAGGTTATTTTTCATTTATACCCAATGAAATTTTTGGTTAAATAGATCTAAGACTGTTTTTTTTAGTTTATTATGCATCTTTTTTGACTTTTTTATATTTATCAAAGTGTTTCCTATTTGTTAAAATTAAGAAAAGTAGTTTTAATTGTAAATAAAATAAAATATTTAAAATGTTTTACTTCACTTTTTTCCATAGCTAAAATCTTTTAAAGCTTACAAAAGGCTTTTGTAAAAAACGGTTCAAGAAAGGAATTTGTTAAGTCAAATATTTATTTATTTTCTCGTTTTTGTTAACAACAAATCCTATTACCATTAACAAAAACATGGCATAACAAATTAAATTTATGATAAATTAAGCTATATAAGCTGTTTAGTATATAGCAACATTTGAAGTATAATATGATATTGGGTTTAGAAGGAAGAGCAAGCAAATGCATTAATTGAAGTAATAGTCGATTTTTAGAGAATTTTTATTTATATATGGACTCAGTTTTATCAAGTGATAATTATAAATTTGAATCATTAAAACAGCAAAATTCGATTTCAATATTAAAAGGTTCTCAGCAAAGATATTTCCCACTAGCACTATGCTAAGCCTTAAAAGAATCCTCAGAAATTCCCAATAGAAGTATTCTGTTTTATAATCTCCGCAAATGAATCCATATTTATAAAGCTATATTGGCTCTGTTAATTTATTTCTTTTGATTCTTATTCTCCATAAAATGAATAATGTGATTATAATTACCCAAAACAAAAATAAAGGTAATATGAAATAAAGAGTGTATTTTAAGTGCTCCTAGGTATAGCATTCTTTGTTCAACTAAGATTTAATATAATATACATCACCAATTTAAGAACATGACATAATTAAAACAAGCTGAGTAGCAGTATTACATTAAAAAGCTATAAATCCAAATATGTAAGCTGCATAAAAGAATCTTCTTCTCTTTTACTAATTCAATTTTGTAGTACTACTTAACGTAAACAATACAATTGCTACTAAAATATAGAAAAATGGTTAGATAGATACCCAAATACCTCTAAGGTATTCTATGGGTAAAATATTCGTTTAAGAAAAAAAGCAATCTAGTGAGTTACTCAGATAAGACGAAGGGCTACCAAATATACTTGAAATGTCTATAAATGTAATATCAAAAAAGTTGAAAATCGAATTTTAGATTATTGATGTGACTTATACATAGTTGATGAAAAGCTTGATATAAAAAGAAATCTAATCTTTTTCACCAGTCTTACCTATAATTAGTACATTAAGCCTTCTTAATGTTTAGCATATAATTTATTTAGAAGCAACATCTATTGACTTTTAGATAGAATATATCAAATATACTGAAATTAGTAACAAATGTATCAGTTGTTTTAAAACTATGCTAGCTGGTTAATTACATTAATTGCATAAATAGTTTCCTAAATAACCATATTTTTTCCCCCAAACAACTCCATAGCTATCACAAACCTCACAAAGAGGTCCTTTATTTTATTATTATTAATTATTATTTAAAAGTTGAAAACTAAATGTTTAAAAAATTCAATTAAAAAAAAAATAAATAATTTATTGAAAAATTAAAAATATTTGTTCTTATTTATTTTATTATCAAAGATAAAAAAAATCAATTTTATGTAATTAAATTTAGTCTTTATGTAAATTTATTTACCTATATATCCTTCAATACAATATCCATCTTATTCTTTTCCATGGCAATTTTCTTGTCTGTTTGCACATTTGATAATTATATCACTAAAGTTATTTTTCCTCCAATATCCACTTTATAAAACAATTTTACTGTTGATGCAGCTTACTGCTCCTTCTTCAGGACAAGACTTACAAGCTTAATTAGAATCTTTTATAGGATTTTGTAATGAATAATATTTATCACCACAAGGAGAACATTCATATTTTATGTCTGAAATTTTTACATAAATTTCTCCTACTTCGCATTTTCTAAAACTAACATATACATTATAAATCTTTTAGCCAATTAAAATTTAATTTCCAGTAATTTTTTAGATAAAAAATGCTTAAATTTCAAATTTGACTTTTTTAGATGGAATACCAAGTAATTGCATGCCGTTTAAATTAAATAAATAATCTTGGCCATGCTTTATATATTAAAATTAAGTGTTGTCTTTTATTTCTAATTCTGTTAAATTCAAAGAAATTAGCTGCAATTGATATGTTTTTATCTCATTTTATAATTTTAAAGAATAGCCAATATCTTTACTGCTTACTTTAACTGGGTTATATTCTTCATCTAAAAGGATTAA